ATTTATGGCAAATGGATGTTACTCATTAACATTTTTGGCAAATTAGCGTATGTTCATGTGTCTATAGATACTTACTCTCATTTCCTCATTCAGGGAAAAGGGTCAAAGATGTAATTGCTCATGGTATGGAAGCTTTATCTATTATGGGTCTCCCTAAACATATTAAAACGGATAATGGACCAACATATACTAGTACATCATTTGCAAGATTTCTTCACACTTATGATGTAAAACACACGACAGATATTCCTTATAACCCTCAAGGACAAGGTTTAGTAGAACGAGCTCATCAAACTCTTAAAGCATATCTGTCAAAAACAAAAGGAGGGAGTAGCGGCAGTCCCCGCTCTCAACTAGCACATGTATTATTTATTTTAAGTTTTTTAAGTGTAGACCCAGCTACAAAACTGACAGCTGCAGATCGCTTATGGCATGCTAAGGGACAAACAGCCCATCCACTTGTAAGGTGGAAAGATGTTTTAACAGGACAATGGATGGGTCCTGATCCTGCATTAATGTGGGGAAAAGGAGCTGCCTGTGTTTTTCCGCAAAATGATCCGGGACCTCAATGGATTCCTTCTCGTTTTTTATGGTTTGACTCTTCTAAAACTACTTCATGAATGCTTTTACCTCTTTGGTTTGTTTTATATCTTATACATGCTGTCCCTAACCTTTTTTCTCCTTTTCGGAGCTATGGAAGTTGCCTCTTTCAATAAAACCAATGTATGGCTGATATTGGTTCAATTGGCAGGGACTGATAATATCTACCTAAAACAAGATGTCCATTTGGGAGCAATATTGGGTTCCTGTTTACTACCTGTCTGTCATCCAGCAGAAGAAATAAAAAAATATGACCTTTTTCTCCAATTTTGATAAAACTATTACTTATGCTGATTATTCTAATTGGAGCACCCCTTCTTATCGCCTACCCCGAAATGCAGTTCAAGTTATAACCACTACTGTTATTGTAACAGATAATGACACCTGCACTGAGTTTCATAATTGTGCAATTAAATGTAGATCTATGGGACCTTCCTTTGCATGTAATAATTCCTTTGTGGTTCCTTCAAGTTATGGACATGTGCCACTTCCAAGAGGCTGGTTTTTTTCCCTGTGGAACTTATACATTCAACTACATACCGGCAAATATGACTCATGGAACACGTTGCTGTCTTAGTCGTCTCATAGTTTTCCTTCCCTCCATTGGTGATTTGCTTCCTGAACATCCTTCTTGTCGCTTATAAAGAATGGCTACACTAACATCGGACTGTAAGGACGATATAAACTTATTATCTAAAGCAGAGTTTGATGCATTGACTTTTTCCCTTGTAGGGATCCCTGGATTGGCAGTAGGAGCTTATAAGACAGCTATGAAATTGGCATGTGTAATGACAAAAAACATTAATTGTACATCTACTGCTCTAGCCTTGTTGAATGAAGAACAGCAGGTTTTACGACAAGGAGTTTTGGATAATAGAGCTGCTATAGATTATTTACTATTGTTACACCATAAAAAATGTATTCAAGTAAAAAATATGTGTTGCTTTAATCTGACAGATAACAGTGTTCCTATTGATACAGAAATTCATCATTTGAAAGAAATGATTGATAATATCAGACAATATGAAGGAAATGAAGAACTATTTTCATGGTTAACATCTTGACTTCCTAATATTTCCTGGTTAAAACAATTAATGATATGTGTGATTTTGATATTTGGCATGTCTATACTTGTTTGTTTCATTGGTCGCTGTATGATCACTTGTCTCTTATCTCGTCCTCCTGTGGTGACTTCATATGCCTCCCGACGGTTTGGATGATTGTTGCCAGTGACGGGTAAGATGAATCACTGCACATATCAATTTAAGACAGAGGCTTACATTTCCCATCAATTGAAGTCCTCCATGACGGGTAAGAATGTTGCAGTATGGTTCACAACCTAAGACAGGCGCAATCGCCGTCATTGTTATTTAAGGGGGAACTGTGTGCTCAAGCACACAAACAGTTAAGTTTTGCTGTGCTTAGCAAAACAAGGAGTTCTGTGAGAAAGTATGAACTCTTTGAACTGTGTCCTTGTTGCTGTCTTAAGAAGATAAGAGAAAAGAATGTTTTGCCAAGTGTAAAATTTTATATGTGTGTGTGTGTGTGTGTGTGTGTGTGTGTGTATGTGTTTGCCTGGGAAGAATAACTAACCAGAAGTTAATTGATAAGAAATATGGAGCACTGTGACCATAAACAAAGCTTTCCTGAGAATGTTTATCCATGTTTGTAAGGATTAAGCTGTCGAAAGGATGTTTTTCTTTCCCCTTGTTTTAATTAACAATGCTGTATAAAAGAAAGAGAGAAAAAAGTAAAGACGGTGCTCATTTTCTACTGAATGTGTGTGTGTGTGTGTGTGTGTGTGTGTGTGTGTGTGTCTTTCTTAAGCATCTCTGCCGTACCAAGAATTACAGATTGTCAGCGGATCTGACAGAGAGGCAAGATGCAAGGCTGGACAAGGGACAAGGAGAGGTATCACTCAAAGGCATGGTAAACGTACTAAGGAGCTCAAACTTGACTCTGGGAAGACTCTGGAATGTTTTCAGCAGTCATGACAATGGAAACATGAGGATTTTAAGAGAGTTTATTCTGAAATCTATGTGGAAGATGTATTTGAATGAAAAAAGTATAAACCAGGCTGTAACAGAAGACCAGGTCAGAAACAGTAGAGCCATGGAGGGAATGGAGAGAGAGGGGGCAATTCAAGAAAATGTTTAGGGGCTGGGGTTGTGGCTCAGTGGTAGAACACTCGTTTAGCATGCATGAGGCACTGGGTTCAAACCTCAGCACCACAAAAAAATAAAATAAAAGATATTGTGTCCACCTAAAACTAAAAAATAAATATTTTTTTAAAAAAGAAGAAAATGTTTAGAAGGAAATCTATGAGACTTTTTAATTGATTGAATCTGGAGGATGCACAATGTAGAAGAAAGACTACGAGTACTATATGTCTTTGTTAGTAATATACAGAATACCAAAGAAATAATTTGGTGAATTATGGTCAGTTCAGTTTTGAATGGATCACTTAGATGTGAGTCTGAAGATTTAAAGAGAACCCCTATGTAGTGACTTAAGCAATTAGTTTATATTTTTTCCATATAAAATTATCTAGCAAAACTTACAACTAATAGATTTAACCCTTGCCCCCTGATTCATAATGATATTTAAATTCCCATGACATGCAGGTAATTTCTTGAGCATTCTAGACCGTTACATCAATATTCTTGTCTACTCCCATGCTAGTACTACACTGTTTTTACTGCTACTACCCCAGTTTTATGAAGTCCTACCTTATCATTACCATACCTTCTTCTTCCTTTTCAAAATTGTCTCAACTGTTTTGGGCCCTTGATTCTTCCAAACATTTTGCTAAACTTCATGAAAATCTGTGCTAGCATTTTGACTGAATTCATGCTGAAGTTATAGGATCAACCTGGCGAGAACTGATATCTCAATGAAACTGACTCTTTCCAACTATGAACAGTATATATCTTCAAGTCTTTTATTCATAATTTTCCATAAAGATTTGTTCTCATCTCTCTTGTTCAATTTATTAAAGCTATGACATAGTTTTTACCATAGGAATGGTGATTTCTTTTAACATTACCTTTTCTGACTGCCTATTTCAAGCATATCAAAACTACTCTTGGTTTTTGTACAGTCATACATTGCTAAATGACAGGATAAATACATTCTGAAAAATGTTCATTAAGTGACTTCATCCCTGTGTTAACATCACAGAGTGTATTTACATCAACGAAGATAGCAATATAATATTATAGGACAACAGTTAGATATGTGACTTATCACTGACATAAACACTGTTATGTGGTACATGACTACATAATGGCATTATGTCCAGTAGAATATATAGATATAGATTTGGGGAGCACCATAAAAGTTAAATATTAATAATAATTACAAAGGTTATTATCTCTCATTAAATATTATGTTTGAGGCCCTATGCTAACGGCTAAAGTGAGTTCATTAATCCTCAGAACTCCATGATGCAGGTGCAACTCTTGCCTTATTTTATAGTCCAGAAGACTAAAAATTAAAGCTAGATTAAAAACAAACCAGGGAAAGAAGCATGAATAATACTAATACCTAAAAAGACAAGAAAGTGAAGGAAGAAAAACCAATTAACAAGACAAGGATCATGGTCTACAAGGTATGAAAAACATCAACAGTGAGATATAACAAAATTAAAATAGGGTGAGTATTCAAAAGGAGACCCTCAAATGTGTCAAATGTAGCACAGAGATAATGTTTAAGGTAAGAGATGCACAATTTTTCCTTGGATTTTTAAATTAAGAGGACACTGGTTATCTCAGTCAAGGCAGTTTCTGTGGAATAGTGGGGACAAAGCCAAACTGGAATGGCTGCTTCCAATGAGTGGTCAAAGGCAGCTAAGAAACAGAAAATAATGAAACATGAAACATGACAGTAAAAGAAAAAAAATTATAGACAGTTTCTAACAGGAGATCAAGGTCAAGGGGAAGCTGCTGGGGGCCACATATATGTTTTCGATTTGTTGTTAAGAGCTGTGGTTCTTGCTTCTTCATACATGCTGCATTTTCCAGCCACAGTATTTTTCTTTGATTCCTACTGTTGGTTTCTTAATCAAAGAAAGGCTGAATCAAATGCTACCTTCTTTTTGAATATCTACTTCCCATGAACTAGTATTCATACATGAATCCAAGAGATCTAACACTGTGAGCCTCAGTAATTTAAGTCTTTAGAATAAGAAATATAAGTCTTAATTGCATCATCTTGAGAATGACCAGGCCACCAGTTCACAAAGGAAACATCACTGACACATCTTTTGACCCAATGTAAAAGGTGTTCTCAGTACCAGATCAGCTGTATATAGCCATCCTGAATCACCAATGGCAGACATGCTTTACTTTGATATAAAACATTTCACAAACTAACAATTAAAATATTTTTTAAAACCTTACTCTGGCAGCAGAAGCAAAAGAATCTGGGCCATGAGCTGCATTTCTTATGCCATCTGTTCCAAAAAGGGCTCTAATGCTTCCAGGAGCATCTGTACGAGCCACCCCAGAGTTTGCAGGTCCAAGCAGCCTTTTCCATTCACATATTGCATCATCTCTTAAAAGCTCCATAGCAATGACAGGACCACTTGTAATAAACTGGATCATCTCACTATAAAACAGGGAAAAGATTGGTTTGCTTTTGCCAACTTAAGACTTCTCTCTTAACCACACAGACATATTTAAATCTGAATATTTCAACATAGACAAGAATATTACAATCTCAGAACTATTGTTGGAGTAATGAGCTTTATATGAGCAGAATAAGGTTTTCATAAACTAAGTGTCTTGAAGTAGCCCAATTCACTAAAAATCAATATAGTAGTAATGTCAAATCAATTAGTGTTAGCAAAAAAAAAAATCACTTTTATTGGATTAAGACCATTTCATTGACTGTGTGTGTGTGTGTGTGTGTGTACACAGAACTATCAGAATTCAAAAAGAGTGATGAAGAACTCTCTATAAATAAACATTGACTTGGTTTAGTGATAAAGAAAAAGGGTGTCAATGGGTCTTCAAGAAATATATATTTATTATACAAAAGCTACTGAGTTTCCTATATTAAATTATTAAAGCATACACAGAGGTTCTTGATTAAAAATCTAGTAATGAATCACCATCCCCCAGGGAATAAAAAAAGTAACGCATTTTATACTTCCACTTCCACATGTACAAACACAGCAGTGACAAGGTTAACTGTGAAAGGAGTAAGTATCCTCACTACTGCGGTAAGCAGACAGAAGCATGCTTTTAGGGTGAGCCCATGTTTCTCTCTCATCCAAATCAGAGAGAGAACAGGACTGTGAGGGAGGAACAGAGAGTAACAGTCCTTGTGCCTATTAACTTAGGACTGTTTTACACAATTCCTTCCTTCACGTACCATGTAACCTGTCTAATTTAGAGATACATACACTCCCATGTTACCTGTCTAACTCCCTCAGTACTTCACCACTCCAATTCATTTTAAAGACTATTCCTAAGAAATAGCATGTATGAAGTGATATTCACCCTCTACTCTAAGAAGACCATGGGACCCACTAGCACATACTTTGCTAGCCCTTACCTACCCCCCAAAACCCCTGCAAACCAACCATTAGATCTAAAGAGCCCAAATAGAGGTAGCACACCCATGTTTATCCATTCAATAAGCATTTGATGATACCCTACTGCATATCAGAATTTATACTATAAGATTTCTCCCACAAGAAATTGATTTTCTAAAGTCCTGTTAATGCAGAATTCTAAGAATATGAGTTTATCATGTAATAACATAGAGAAGAGTATATCATAAGATATTGCTTCATGAAGTGATATCCAGTTACTGCTGATATTCTTTAATTACATCTTTCCCAATACTAGGCAACTAGTTAATTCATTCATTTAATAAACTTTACTGCATATTAATTACATATAAGACATTAAACTAGGATTTGTAATCCACTGATACAAAGTGAAATAAAAGAACCTATAAGAATAATTTCTACAAATCTGCTAGAAAACTGGATATAAAACAAGACTTGGGAAAATTTTATAAGGTTTGATTTAAAATAATCTGTAAGAAAAGAGTTAGAAACTTTAGAGATACATACACTGCCATGTTTATAGCAATCACAATTGCCAAATTATGGAACCATCTTAGGTGTCTATCGATAGATTAATGGATAAATAAAATGTGGTATGTACGTACACACACACACACACACACACACACACACAATGGAGTTTTTATCAGCCATAAAGAATGAAATCATGACATTTGTAGGAAAATGGACAGAGCCAGAGAGAATTATGTTAAGTGAAATAAGCTAAAATCAGATAGATAAGAGTCTCATGTTCTCTCTCACATGTGGAATTTAAAGAAAAAAGGGTCTCATGAAGATAGAAGGGGGACCATAGGGTACAGCATGAGGGTCAGGAGGAAGGAGCAGGAGAGGGCAAAGGGTGGTACTAGGGAGTGAAATTGATCAAATTAGGTTAAATACATGTACAGATATGCCACAATGAAACCCACTCTTTGGTATAATTAATATGTACCAATAAAAATATTTTTAAAAATCTGTAACAGTAATTTTCTTGTAAAAAGCTTTAAAAATACTACTCTGTGTAGGATACCAAATGGCATGTCTGTTGTAGCAGTTTGAGTAAAATAACATTTATCCTTATTAGAAATGTAAGCATTCCTTTGTATGTCAATAATTAAGTGTGTACCATTTTCACTTAAACGTAATTATATAGCAAATATTCAGGATACAGATTGTTTCTAATATATATTAGTTGCCATTTTTCAAGAAATAAAATATATATCAAATTATTTAAGTTCAAATATAAGGGTTCTATGAATATTTTATACATACAAGATGACCACAGTAAGAGACTTTAAAAGCACAACAAAAATATCCATCAATATAATCGTTACTACATTTTTAATTCACTCAAGAAAGCTATGCTTCTTGTAACTTAAATCATCTCCTTCAGATTAAAGTTTCAGCTATTTAATGATGAACATATAGAATTCTTTTTTTATGGTACTGGGGATTAAACCCAGGTCCTCCCACAAGCTAGACAAGCACTATATCACCAAGCTGTATCCCCAGTCCTTTTTAATTTTAAGACAAGGCCTCTCTAAGATGTCCAGGCTGGTCTTGAACTTGCAATCCTCCAGTCTCAACCTCCCAAGTAGCTGAGATTACAGATGTGTACCACTATGCCTGGCCTGAGACAAAAAATTGTTATCTAATAAAAGAAAATAATTCTTAGAAAAGAACTCTGTGCAGTTGCCAAGATGTAATTTTGGTCCTTTTGACAGCTTATTCTCATGAAATAAAATTTTAAATTATAAAATATGATTCTTGCCAGGTATAGAGGTATATGCCTGTAATTCCAGCAACTAGGGAGGCTGAATGAGGCAGGAAGATTGCAAGTTCAAGGCCAGATTGAGCAAATAAATGAGATCCTGTCTCAAAATAAAAAAATAAGTGCTAGGGTGTAGCTCAGTGGTTGAGTGCTTGCCTAGCACATGTGAGGCACTGGGTTTAAGCCTCAGCATCACATAAAAATGAATAAATAAATAAGTAAAATACAGGTATTATGTCCATCTATTTAAAAATAAATAAATAAATAAAAATAAGCAAAAGAGTTGGGGAATATAACTCAAGTGGCAGAGCACCCCTGGGTTCAATCCCTAGTAGAACTCTCCCATACACATACATGTATAACTTTAGTTTTCCAAGATATTCTCCATTATGTACCACTAGTCTCAAGTTAAATACCTACTTATAAAACGGCCTTGACTGGTGGTCTACATGAAAATCAGTTGCTTCTTTCCTATAAAATAATCAAAATGACAACAGTTGAGAATTATGTAAGAAAACTATTATTTTAGCTTATCTTTAAAAAAAGATGAAAACCTCTAAATACACATATCTCAGTGTGTGAATTAATTAATGATGTTTTACCAAGTAGACTGTTAAATTCCCCTCCTTTTAAATATTTTGCAAGCATGAGTCATTTCTATGTTAAGATGTAAAATTAAAATGAATACAAGAAGTACTACTCATGTTGGGATGAAGCTGAAATCAAAGACAACTTGTCCAGGTTCCTCAGCTAAGTTAGGGACCCCATCACACTATTAAGGCAAGCTGATAGACTAGCATCCTAACCAGCATACAATCTGAAGGCTGTGAAGAAGCTTTTTAGTTTGATATCATTGCAGTTATTGATTTTTTATTTTACTTCTTTACTTTAGGAGTCTTGTTGCAGAAGTCGGTTTCTAAGCTGACATGATAGAGAGTTGGGCCCACTTTTTCTTCTAGCAGACACAGGGTCTCTGGTTGATGCCAAGGTTCTTGATCCACTTTGAGTTGAGTTTTGGGCAGAGTAAGAGAGAGGGGTTAAATTTTATTCTGCTCCATATGAATTTCTACTTTTCCTGGCACCATTTGTTGAAGAGGCTATCTTTTCTCCGATGTATGTTTATGGCGCCTTTGATGTGACAGGATTTTTAAAGAAGATTAAAATAAAAATTAATTTACAAATCCTTGTGAAATAATGGTGAGTTTCTTCATAAAACCAGTGTAAAACTCTTATAGATGGTGATGCACTTGCTAATATCTATCTCCTTCTAAGCTGTATAAGGAATTAGATAAGAATAAGGAGGACAATTCACACACTCTCATTCTGGCTTCAATTTTAGAGGTTGGAAGAGAAAAATACTTAAGGGAGTCCTTTTCACTTATATTAAAGATAGTGGTTGTTCTTTTCCCTGGTAGTAGTTAAGTTTGTGTATGTGTTGAATGGTTTGGAATTCATCATTTTAGTACTCTTCTACTGCTTCTTCTGATTTACTTCTTGTTTGAGTTTTTCAGATATCAATTTTACCCCATTTTAAGCAGCTGTATGATATATGCATGTCACATTTTTATGAACTCTTTACTGTCTAGATTTTTGTTGTTGTTTTCAGTTAGTGGTAGAAAGAGCATAAGCAATCAGAGACTTGGGTTCAGATCTTCCTATCTTTCCCTAATTGTTCTTTGACCTTACCATGCTAAACTTGTTCTTCTCATATGTAAAATGAAGGTGGTCACATCTAGTACAATATATTGTTGTGGAATAAATAATTTAGTCATGGCATGTAGTGGGCTCTGGAAACACGTGAGTTTTTTTCCCCCTTCTCATGTCTTGTTATTCTCTGTACTTGTGTAGTATATTTTTATAATGTCTCCACAGCCAGAGGGAGTATTTGAGTATGTGTGTGTAGAACTGACATAACATATATGTGCAAATTCATTTTGTAATAGGCCAATGAGGTATTTTTTGATGTGTTTCTTTTCAATAGAGACCACATCACTTCATCTGTTATAGTGAATAACAGATGAGAGGCAATAATTCAAGAGGGCACCAGAAAGCTTTTTCATCATAAAATGACAGAAAGGGTTTAGCATCTTCACCACCCAACCCTTTGTTAGTTCTTTCTTCTGATCTGCCTGCTGCTTCACACTAAAAAAAGCAAATAACCCAATTGATGAATGGGCAAAGGAACTGACCAGGCCCTTTACAGAAGAAGAAATACGAATGACCAACAAATATATGAAAAATTATTTAACAACTCTAGCAATTAGAGAAAAGCAAATTAAAGCTACATGGTGATTATTAAGAATACAAGTAACAATAAATGTTGGCAAGGATGTAGGGGAAAAGGCACACTCATACATTGCTGGTGGGACTGCAAATTTGTGCAACCACTCTGGAAATTCCTCAGAAATCTTGGAATGGAACCACCATTTGACCCAGTTTTCCCACTCGTTTGTATATACCCGAAGGACTTAAAATCAGCATACTACAGTGATGCAGCAACATAAATGTTTAGAGCAGCTCAATTCACTGTAGCTAAGCTATGGAACTAACCTAGGTGCCCTTCAACAGAGGAATGGATAAAGAAAATATGGTATATATACACAATGGAACTACTCAGCCACAAAGAATGATATTATGCTGGTAAATGGATGGAACTGGAGACTGTCATGCTAAGTGAAATAAGCCAATTTCAAAAAACTAAAGGTCCAATATTCTGTATGATATGTGGATACTAACACACAATAAGTAGGGGGCAGCGAGAGTAGGTAAGAATAGAAGTCCATTGGATTAGACAAAGGGGAATGAAGGGAAGGGAGAAGGGATGGGAATAAGAAAGACAGTTGAATGAATCAGACAGAACTTTCCTATGTTCATATATAATACATGACTGGTGAAACTCTACGTCATATACAATTAACTACAAGAATGGGAAGTTACACTCCATGTATGTATAATATGTCAAAATATACTCTATTGTCATATATATATATATATATATATATATATATATATATATATAAAACAAAAACCAATAAATTTTTTTTTAAAAAAGAATAGCACTGTAACTTTGTAATTCCCTTCCTATCCTTGATACCCTTGTCATAAAAAAAAAGAAAGAAAAAGGCACACTGTCATGTGTCACTTAACCATATTATCTATTCTGATAAACACACTGCTAAGTGATATCATGGCACTAAGGTAAGAGCCAAGGCATATTCAAGTAATTGAAACCTAAGAAGTGGCAAGAGGTGAGCCTACTAAAATAGGTTAAGTCAGATGAATAAGGGTGTTATGTACTCCCCCAAAGAGCTAGTCTGTTTTCTCCAGCAGACAATGGGAAACCACTGTAGGTTTAAGAGGATGGAGATGTGCTCAGATTTCCATTCTACTGATAAGCCTCACTCTATTGGCAATATCCAGAGTAGAAGGAAGCAATCTTGGGTAAGGAGTAACCTATCAAGAGTCATTAAAGAACATTAACTTTAGAAGTAGGCAAATTGGCCAGTAACATATTTAAATGCTTTTACAAGTTGAACAGGATCCTATGCTAAGCTGCAATGGGAATTGTAAGGAAGGAAAGGCTCTCAAAGATGTATAGAAATCAGAAGTAAGAAGACTTAAATATCAGGTAGATGTGAGAAATGGGGGGTAATCAGGTGAATCCAGGATCATTTTCAGATTGATGGTAATAGAGAAAAGTCAGAGCTAGAGATATACCTGCATTTCACCTATAAATAAGTAGCAGGTGATTATATGGACATGGACATGGACATGAACATGGATGGGACTACCCAGGGAAAGTACAAAGAAAAGGATATGCATAGGACATGCTTTAAGAAAAAGATGTAGCCATGGAAGTAGGTCACTGAAAAGATGGTGGCAGTCATTGAGATGGGGAAAATCCAACCACCTTGATGATCACTCACAGAAATCTTGAAGTCATCCCTACCAACAGAGACAAAGATTACAAGCCAAATGTCCAAATACTGAATAAATGTGGGGTTTGTGACCTGAAGAATGGAAATGAGGACAATGTATGGCATGGCCTTCCAAGAACGAGCTGTTCTGTGAAAGCGTGGAGATTTTCAGAGGGAGATAAAGTATTGATGCTACATCCTGACCCTATGACACAGGAATATTCAAGAGTGAACAGCCTACACAAAAGGGCTAACAGGAAATGGAAGCCCTTGGAGAAGAGTCAGATTCCAACTAAAGGAAAGGTGAAAGGGCGACTTGGAAGCTCTCTATTATGACACTGTGGACACAAGAATGTTTGTTTACAATGAAACTTGGCTTCCAGAAGGACCAGTATAAAGGGTCTGATAACAGATAATGATCACCTGACTAAGGGAAAAGGGAGTACACAGCAACAAAGGAACAAATATTTGTGTAGACAATAATTAGAAGGGCTCACATTTGTGGCATTCCAAAGGCTGAAGAGTTTTATAATACATAGATGGAATTAACAAATTTCAAGGTTCCAAAAAAACTCTACAAATTTATACTATGTGGTGTTCCTAAAGTGTTGATTTTTTTTTAAAATGTGCTACAAGGCTTTTGTGATAAACAAGCAGCATCCCTATCATGGGACATTTGACACCATGCTATGAAAACACTGGAGGTAGAGACATTAAATGCATGTAGCCCTTGTACCACGTTAAGCTACACATACTATCATGATCCCCATTCTTCAGATGAAAAAAACAAGTACCGAGGTAGAATGTTCAGAGTCACATGCATAGAAAGTGCCATAGCTGCAAGCAATCTGGCCATAGACACTGCTCTAAAGTGTAAGCCTCTGCCTCTACATAACATGGAAACAGGGAGATTTCATATAGGAGAAAACTTTCAAATTTAAACATGTCACTGTTGAGATAAAACTAAGGGCACTTTGTCAGCATTTCCAGGATCACACCTATTGAAGCTAGGTTGAATGTTCACTGTTTCCTATTGTCCCTGTTTTCAGAGATGAAAATGCAAGTGACCCACGGAATAGAAATTCAGGAACCAATGATTTTTTGAAGGAAAAAGAAAGCACCAAAACCAAAGAAAAGAACTGATGGAATTACAGAATACTGGAGCCAGCTCTGCCTAACTGCCACTCACAGGCCCCTTCTGTGTCACACTCAGCCAATGAGAATATGACCCCAGGGAAACGGAACTCTGCCCCAGAGATGCCCCACCTCCCTTCTACATCCTCTGGAATATTTCCGTCTTTGTTTTGCCTACTGGGTATGAAAATTAAAAAAAAAAAAAACAAGTGTCCAATGTCATAGAAAGATACTGCACTTCTTCCCAGTGGTTTTTCAGTTTCTTTGGAGAAGTTGTCCCATTTCTCTGTTCTTTACTTGGACATTGTGAATATTTTTCTTGCCATTCCCAAGGGAGAAACACCATTTTATCATGAGATTAGAGTTACTTTATTTTTTGATAAAGCTAAGTAGAATAAGTTTTATTTTCATTAAATTACTTAGAAAATGTCTGGTTAGATACCTTGGATTGCTTTCCCAGTAGTAAGCAGACATATTTACCCATTATATATACTTAGAAGAGATAAATACAAATACTTTCAAATATATCAATATTGAAAACCTATAATAATCACATTCATTTCCTCGTCTATCACTTAAATACAGTATGTCATTCTTATGTATTAAGAACATATTGTAACTATCAACCATTAATGTCATAGAAGCAGACAGGGCTGTGGAAGACAATAGAGCGTTACATAAGAACTGTCTGACAACTCCCAGTTGTTTAGAGTTCAAATGATTATTTATGCATCTGATAACCTGTTTTATTTTTCTCATTCTGATAAAATTACTATTCTACTCTGTCATTCAGTGAAGAGCTTTCTTTAAATTTTAGACAATAGAAGGAAAGATAGGTAAGTTTTTTTAACAAATGAAATCAGACATTATATAACTGAGAATGATTTTAAAAAATTACCTGGAAAGCATCATCATTTTAAGTTTAGTTATAGTAAATCCAGCTTTGTTTATTATTTCAATTATTTCTCCAGCCTTTGTTACTGCATCTGGTTTAATCAGGGCTAATGTTCTGTAAATAAATAAATAAGGAATAAATTTTAAAATAAACACAGTTTTTCAGGTTTTTTTTAAAAATACCCAAGGAGTGGTAGTTTCCTTAACAATCATCCCAGATTGGGCTGGGATTGTGGCTCAGCAGTAGAGCACTCGCCTAGCACGGGTGGGAACCGGGTTAGATCCTCAGCTCCACATAAAAATAATTATAAATTCTTCTTCTGACTCTTTATTCATATAATGGGTGATGCACAAAGAGCTCAATGTCCTCTCACCCAACGATGTATACAAATAGCAAGCACCATGCTGACTTTTAAAATCATGCTTCCTTCCAAGAGCATAAAACAGAGCAATATACTCTCTGAAGTCTATGAATTAACAGAATTTTGGAGATGGACATAATCTCAATGTTACTTTACTGATAAGGAAACTAGGCCTAAAGAGGTAATATGGAAAAGTCACACAAATGATTAGTTTCATCTTCAGGACAAAACACATAGCTCAGAAGACTCCTAGGTCTGTGCTCTTTACCCACCATAAATAGTGTTACTATTATTAAATAAGTGCACTATCACCAAATCTGCAAGAATAATATTTGCAAGTATAAGATAAAAACCTGACCAGTTGCAATAACTCAATCTACATGATAAAGACTTGCTGCTACTTCCACTTCATTGTTCTGACAATATTGGCATTAATTCAAGGAATCCATACAGAACAGTTTTCATATTAAGCTATTTTTATCAACAAAAAGAACATAACATAAAGGCTGGGGATATAGCTCAGTGGTAAAGCACCTCTGGGTTCAATCCCTGGTACCAAAAAAAGAAAGTCTTTGCTTTTTATTTCACCTTATTTAACCATTATAAGCCAACATAACCTAAAAATTGCATTAAACTCTAGAAGAATATTTCACAAACCCTAACTCTTAAAATATAAGATAATAACAGTCATCAATTTCTTTTTTTATTTTTTAAAATTAATTAATTAGTTTATTTTAATTAGTTACATATGACAGAATGCATTTTGATTCATTGTACACAACTGCAGCACAACTTTTCATTTCTCTGGTTGTACACGATGTAGCGTTGCACCACATGTGCAGTCATACATGTACCTAGGGTAATAATGTCCATCTCATTCCACCATCTTTCCTACCCCCATGCCTCTTCTCCCCACTCCCTCCCCTATGCACAATCAAAGTTCTTTCACTTAAAAGTCATCAATTTCTGTGAACAAGAAGCAGCATGAATCTAAAACTGGCCTGGGGAAGTAGCTCAGTGGTGGAGCACTTGTCTAACATATGCAAGGCCCTGGTTTGATTCACAGCATCACAGATAAAAAAATTAAAAAGTCTAAAACCAATAGAACCTTGCTGGGACTGAGAATTCAGTCTTCTTTGGGATGCTCCTTTTATAATAAAGTCCTTAGCCTTATCTTCAGCCTTTACTGCCCTTTGGCTGGTCTCTTCAGATGCCACCAAGGAGACCTCAGACTTTTACCAACTCACCTAGGATTACAGGGGTGGACCTCTCCCAGCTTCTTGTCTACATTTTATTTGTTTGTTTGTTTATTTATTTATTTATTTTTGGTAACAGGGATTGAACCCAGGGGCGCTTAACTATTGAGCCACATCCCCAGCCCTTTTTATTCTTCATTTTAAGACTGGGTCTCACCAAGTTTCTTAGGGCCTCGGTAAATTGCTGAGGCTGACTTTGAACTCGTGATCCTCCTGCCTCAGTCTCCTGAGTCACTGGGATTATAGGCATGCACCACCAGACCTGGGAAGCGAAGTCTAAATTTATGGTTTATTTTGTTTTCTTTGTGAGCATAAAGTGTGTGCTTCCCTCATGAATACAGGAAAACATCCTATCATAAGGCAGCCTGTGATATGGACTAAATTCATTTATCATTTATTAATTTCAATGTTTTTTAATTCATTCATACACTATTATAAATCCCAATACTATAATGCTGCTTAAATACAGCTAAGGCTTCGGATTGGCAACAATGACAAAGTTACTCAGAGCAATCCCTATACTGAAAAACTAAAACAAAAAAGTGAGGGGCTGGGGTTGTGGCTAAGAGCACTTGCCTAGCATGTGTGAGGCCCTGGGTTCAATCCTCAGCACCACATAAAGACAAATAAATAAAATAAAAGTACTGTAGCCATCTACAACTAGAAAAAAAAACCCTTTTATAAAAAAGTGGGTAAGATACTTTTTAAACATTTTTTTCAAAGTAAAGATGAATTAACTAGTTAGTAAGTAATTACAAGGACAATTTTTTTAAAAAAATAGGGGTGCCAGGAAAGTGAGAATGAAAGCAGCTTTTGATGTGCCAGTATTTGTGTGACAAATTTCAACTTTAATCTATACTATATTACTAGGAGAGGGGAATGGAATCCAATAGGTTATCCTCCCTAAAATAATTTGGGACCCATAGCTATAATATGAATGTAAACCAAAAGCACATGTTCACATCACATAGGCATTTCAGAACTTAATTTCTGAACCTGGATAATGGTCAGATTGCTAATGCCTACAGGAAATAGGCAGAAGCAACACAATTCTTCTCAGGGAGAAAATTCTCTTATTTCTGTACCTCCAATATTTAATATATAGACAGTGCACACATACACAACACCCCCTGCACACAAACAGCAGCCATCATCATAAAGATAACCACACATACAGACACACACAGGAAAAGAACAACATAGAGAGAACCAAAAGAAACCACACGAACAGAGAAACCTACAAATACTTCATGTACTGAATTTACCTATCCTCAATCAGTTAATAATTTGGAGGGAAAAGTGGAGACTAACAGAGTTCAAAAGATGATAAAAAGATGATTTAAGGTACAAGGTATGTAATGTGAAGGAGGAAAAGAAGAGAAATAAGAGATTTCCAAAGGAGGTAAGTATATGGGTAAAGTTCGGTTCCCTTCTGGATGTTGGGTTAAAATACAAATAGGACAAGGAATCCATATTATTCCAAGACTGTGATTAAGTGAATATGAAGCTTAGGAGTTCAAAAGGAGGTTTCTCAATAAAATAGAATTAATTCAATTTTGAATTTGTTTAAGTATCTATGTGAAGTCCACATGGAAAGACACAAAAAATTTATAATGTATGGTTTTGCAGCTGGGCTGATAATATAATCTTGGAAAGCAACATATAGTTGAAATCATGGGTATATGTGGGAGACCAACCTTGCATGTGACTGAGTCATACTCCCTGGCTGGATGCTGAGGAGCTCAGTCGCAGAAATGTGACAGAGTTTTCCCCAGCCTTCTTGGGTTCCAGGGAAGGTGTCTCATGCATGGGTGTGTCTTGCTACAGCCCCATGGGTGGAGCTACGCTCACCTGTTCCTCTGTAATATAACCCCTTACCCTGTTTGGGATAGAATGTTCCATGGAAACACCTTTTGTGTGTCCCCTTATTTACTGTGCCCTTGGGTGTGGCCTACCTCGATGTCAGTCAACCTGATGACAGTGGACATCATGAAGATAGACTCAGCCCCCTGAAACCTGACACCTTGCCTCATTTGAATAGCTTCTCCTCACTAAAAGGGGTCTGCACGTGTGTGCATGTGTGTGTGTGTGTGTCTCTCTTTCTCTCTCTCTCTCTCTCTCTCTCTCTCTCACTCTCTCTTTCTGCGGACCCTTAAGGTCAGAGGAGCCAACCGACACAGCGACCCCAAAGAAAAAGGTATTTCTGCCTCTTGTGTGGTTATTTTGTGCATCCCAGTTAACCCAGTTTACCTGGAGTGACCCTGAGCCTTTTAGTCAAGAACAGAAACCAGGCAGGTATACACAGAATCCCCTCAAAGGGTGCACAGAATGAGAAAAAAAGGTCCTCAGACAGAAACCTGGGGAATGCCAGCTCTATATTTTAGCACCCTCTTTTAAGAAGATGTCAGAATGACAAAAGAAATAGCCAGAGAAGCAGAGGTGAAAGCAAGAGGCACGCAGTGCAACAGCAGCCAGAGGAGAGAAAGGGATGCTTTTTTACATTATTCTACACTTCACTGCTCCAGTTGGGATGAGGGAAGGAAAGAGGTGCATTTTTAGCATTTATTAATTTCAATTTCTTTTAATTCCTTCATATACTATTATATCCCAATACTATAATCCTGCTTACATATAAAATACCTGAACCCCAAGGCTAGTTCAAAGTTTAAATAGCCAAGATTTGATGACATTTTGTTTCCATAAATTTTATTCAAATATATATCTGATGACATTTCAAATCACCAAATATAAAAAATGTAAAAAAATGAATCAAATTCCAATACCAGATAATGTATGTTCATCCACAAGTATTCTTAAACTATGTAAGTCTTAAAAATAAAGTACTATTTCAATACCTTTAAAAGTGTTATCTATAAGGCATATTTAGGCTAAACAAATACTTGGAATTCTTGGGCTGTGTTAAAAAATTCAAAAGGTAATTTGGGTCAGTCACCCTGCCTTCAAGAAAAGTGCTCTTAAACCCTTGGAAAGCAAAGGTCTCATCTTAAATACAGCTTGCTATTTACCCACATTTCATTTCAGGGCAATGAATCATATCAGTACATCTCCATGAGAACAAAAGAATTCATACCATTATTTTGTTTTTGCTATGATGGAGCCTCATCATAGCAAAAACAAAATAATGGTATAAATTCAAATAATTGGGCTAATAACCTTTATCCATGTGATAAAGTGTTTATGAAAGACAATAGAAATGTGAATCAAATGTCAGATTTCTTCAAAGGGAACTGAAAACTTGAGGATAATCTGTGAGCTAAATTTAATTATACTGAATTATTTGGATCATTGCTTCACAATTAGCTAATGAGCTCCGTGGAGAGCAACTTCACCCATCCCCCTCTCTACAGGTTTACTCCAGGAAGAAAGGTGCTGGGTATGCAGTTAGCTTTTGATGTTTATACTAAACTGAAAATTAGACTCAATTATAATTATTATGTAGAAGATGTTTCTCTGGGACTCTGAGAGGTATACATGTT